TTCACTATGTAAATACAGAGGTACTTTAACTGTACACAACTTTCTGCTCAGTGAGCAGGATCTGATTTAAGGATTATGTTTACAACTGTTTCAATTTGATTAGAATTCTAAAAATGCAGACTGAGCTCCAGAAAAGCTAGATCTAAAACAAGCTCTAATTGGCATGCTATCACTTTATCTGAAAAGAATTTTTTTAAAAGAGTGTGGATCTACTACAAAAGTCACTCAGCACTTCTTGTTCTCCTAATATGGTCATCAGGGAATCCCTTAAGTCTGCTTCCCACCACTCATTTTCTAAGAATAATGGCACAGTATCTTGAACAATGAAAAGCATCAGAACATACACATACATCAAATATCTTCTTTTTGATAATGCACACCTCAAGATTTGCTTGCTTAAGAGTCAGTCTGTTTTCCACTGGGGTGGCATTAGGCAGGACAGGTTAATACACTTACACCAGGTCCCATTCTCCAGACTGACTCAGCTCTGCAGCCTCCTCTACTATTATAGAGTGCACATACTGTACTGAGGTTGGATATTGTGCATATTAGAAAACAGAGCTCCTGCCAAAGATCTTTTACGAGCTTATTCAACTAGACATCTGACACAGTATTAAATAATCAAGGTATATTCTGGGCCATAACACACCTCTGCCTACCTGCTTATATCACGTCTCTCACAAACATACAAATCACTTACAAATCTTGACGGATTTGAGGTTACCTACTAAATTAAGCCAAACAGATAACACTCAGTTTTATCAGTCAATGGGCTATATTTTTTTAAGCTCCCTTTTCCACTCATTTAGGGACAACAGTTTAGCAGATGAGATGCATTATATATCATAGCTTCTAAATGTACAGACCTGGAGACTGAATAGGCCATTGCCAGTCTAGAACACATTCTTCCCAATAATCTAGCAGAGATGTTCCCAGTAATCTGGCAGAGGGGTGGTGAATTTCCATATGGCGATGTAAACTACCACAAAGCACATTAAGAATCTTTTAGTTTGTTTTCCAGTGAGGCTCTTGGTACTGGTTCTGTTGTGTACATTGCTGTTATTGTCTATGTACATCAAATAAACACACCTTGTAAGTCTCACCTAAAATTTATCCATGACAAATCATATTTGACTGCCTACCTTTTATGCACAAATGACTGGCTTAGTGGGAGAGAGGAAAGCACTGTATTTCTTTAGCCTTGACCTTAGAAAGGCTTTAACAGAATCACAGAACCTGTTCGAAGGGACCTCCAGAAGTCACCTGGTCCAACCCCCCCTTGCTCAAGCAGTGACACCTCCAGCCAGTTGCCCCGGACTGTGTCCAGATGGCTTTTGAATATCTCCATGGATGAAGACTCCACAACCTCCGTGAGCAACCTGTTTCAGCACCCAGTCACCCTCACAGTATTTCTGTAAACAAGCTGGGAACATAAGAATTAGAGGAGTTGACTACAGTAAGGTCAGAAGCTGGCTGGATTGAGCAATTGGTGGTTCAAGTGACAGGAAATTATTAGCAGCATTCCTCAAGGGTCAATACTGAAGCTGATATGTTTAACATATTCATCAGGGCTAGGGCTGCCATTCAGAGGGGCCCTGACAAGCTGAAGGAATTTCTCAGTCAAAAGCTCATGCAATTTGATAAAGACGAATGCAAAGTCCTGCATCTGGAATGGAAGAACCCCACATTATTAACCCAAAAAGACAATCCCATGCTTGTACAGGTTGCGGCTCTGCCACCTAGGGGTTGCAGGGTGTGGGAGGAATGTCCAAGTAGACAAGATAAATGTGAGTCAGTAGTGTGCTCTTGCAGCAGAAAAGGCAATCTGTATGCTGGGCTGCATCAAGAACATAAACCAGCAGGAAAATTACTACTCCCCTCCACTCAGCATTAGTGAAGCTACATCTGGAGTACCATGTCCAGCTATGGGTTCCCTAGCGCAAGAGAAACCTCCACACTGGAAGAAGTCCAGCAGAGGACCACTGAGATGATCACACACACTACATCTGAGGAGAGGCTGGGGGAAGTCGGTTTGTTAAGGCTGTAGGATGATACAGCTACAACCTCCCAGTACCTAAAGGGACAATGTAGAGAAGACAGAGTCAGACCCTTCTTAGAGGCGCACAGCAAGAGGGCAGATAACTCACAGCAAGGGAAAATCTAACCGGATGCAGGAAAACACATTTTCACAACAGAGGTAGCTGAGTACTGGATCAGGCACCCAGAGACCCTGTAGAATCTCTACCCTTGCAGATATTCAAAACTTGGGTGGAGAGGGCCCTGAGCATCATAATCTAACTTTCAAGTTAACCCTGCTTTGAAGAGGAGCTCAAACTTAGATGGCCTCCAGACCTGAATTACTTTATTATCTGCCTGGAGCATGTGCGGCTTCTGACATGAAGAGTGTTTAGATATTTCTGATAAAGAGCTACATGCAATCACTTTCTTAACTGGTGATACGGGGTCCCTATCACCCTTCCACATTTGGGCTTCTAAGAGTGGATTTTACATGCTCACAGAGCTTCTGGTCTACACATGCCAACCAAAAATCAAGCTTTTACTTCACATTCTTCATAATTCAAGTCTAGATGACAGTATATAATACTAGATTATTAAATAAAATTACAGTATAACCTAGATGAGATTTAAGAATAACATGGGAACAACAGCTATTCTTGATAACAGTAAAATTATGTCTGGTGACCTCAGAGCCACAACTCATTCACAGAATTTTGTATTCATTATCAACAAGTTCTGTATCAGGAATGTCAACACCTTAGTAGAGAAGTTACTACATCACACTGACCTCCATTTTACAGTATTTAAATTAATTTCTCTTTCTCATAATCAATAAATACACGTTACTATCACAGTTTAGCTAATTGTATGGGTTTACTACTGTTGTCCCACTAACAAGTGCACAGGCATACATACATTCTTGTTTTTATCAGCTTATCTGAGAAAAGAAGGATGGAACTTCAGTCCATTGATCAAAATTGAAATTTAATTTTCCACAAAAATTATATAACCACTGTTTTCACAAAACTTTCTTTTAGTATGAGGAAAAAATAGATGACCCTAATTCAGTTCCATCTTCTACCATACTTCCAGGGTCTCTAAAGGCACATCTCTTAACAGAAGTAATCTCTTAACATTTTAAAAATAAATAAATAAAAGAACAGAGAAGCACTGAACATTTTTCACTGCCATTCTGCCTTGTACGGCACTGACAAAGTTTCCACTGCCCACCTATTCCATTCAGAGGAATACTGCAGGCACACAGAACATGCAAAAAGCGTAACTGATCACTTTTTTGTGAATCATGATGTGTAGGCTGGCAGAACAAGGGAGAGCCCACGAAATTCTCTTATCACACAGTTTGGCAAACAGAAGGCAATATACCAAAATCTGAATAAAGTTTCAGTGTGTTGCTCCATCACAATCAAGAGATGATGCATTTCCAGTTTTCAAACTAATGGAATCAGACAAGTTGAGCACTTCATGTTACCAACTCCCAGATGTCTAGATATGCAAAAGCCAAACTTTCAATCTCTCAGGTTGGATGAAAGGTTTTGCCCTAGCTGCACAAAGATAAGCCAGCAGAGTTAATGCCAGAGAAGTCAGAATCTAGTCCTGTCATTAAAATGTTAGCTAAGTCCCCTCAAGGTAGGAAAATGAAGATGTGGATAATAGGTAGCTTATACTGGAGGGAACTGTACTTAAAGGGACTAGCCTTCTCTTGTGTGGATGAATAACACAATCCAATATGATTCTGCCTTTGATGAAACCAAGAACGCAACTTAAGTAACTTTAAGATTCCTTGTCTATGAGACTTTCTGAAAAAAAAAAAAAAAAAAAGAGTGCAGACATGCAACATGCACAGAGACAAGATCACATATCCATAGCAACATGACAGCTGTTTGATACCTCACTGAAACAGACCCCTCTTTTCAACTAAAGGTTATGTCCCAGACAAATGCAAGTATATTAAAAAAAAAAACAGAGGACCCATACGGTAACACAAGGAAGTATGAAAAGAAACTACTAGTGTTCTTTGTGATTATCTACCCTGAAGGTTGCATATTATTTTTTTCAAAGACAAGCCTAGTTTTGATAATAGATGCTAGAACTGTCTCCTTCAAGTGGTATGAAATGGGATTAGAAGAACAGATGATGTTTCTGAAGAATAAAATTCTCTGTCTAGTTTTATACCTCTTAGCAAAAGTAATTTAATTTTCTGAATTAAAATCCTCTTATGCTTTTTTTTTTTTTTGCTTAAAACTAGACATCTATACATTATTTATATACTAATAAACACTAAACTCTCTAATCCCTCTAAACAAATTTAAAAGTTCTATTTTTTTCTATAAGTTTTATGAGTTTGTTTATGATTGGTACTTTCTTACAAGTATCTATAAGGACAGGAAAGTGATTATTGAGTATATTTTCAAGACTGAAATCCCCTTCATTTAAAACACAAGACCTTGTATCAATATGGAATCTGAAATCTGTTTTCTAGTCATTCCAGATTTACTGGAATAATAGGTAGAGCCAAAAGAGAAGATATTTTTGACATTCCCACAAGTTAGAAAACACACACTCTTATTACAGCCACACGTAGAATGGGCACTTAGCGAACGGGTTACCAAACATTTTAAGTTCTTTTAAAAACAGCCCTGTTTCTGAAATTGCCACTCAGGACGTTTCCAATTCTCAAAAAAAAAAAAAAAAAAAAAGTGTTGGGAGAACTTCTACCCTAGCCGAAGCGTCATACGTGTCATCAGAGCTTGTTATTTATGCTTAAGCAAGAGGAAGAGGAAATTTCACAGAGATTGAAGCAGAGGCACCCTGCACTTGCGATTAGAGCAGCCCCGCCGCCAGCAAGCGCGCACGAAGCGCCGCCACAGCCACCTTCACCCACGCCTGTCCCCACTGAAGTAAAACCGAGAGCCTCCGCTTCCCTCGCCTGCCTCCAACCCCCCCCCCCCGCCCTCCCCTACCTTCCACCGAGCGCCCGATGCTGTGCAAGTGGGTGATGGAGGGGTACGCGGCGTGAACCCCCTTCAGGTACGCCTCCAGCTCCTCGGCGTGGTGGTACCTGAAATCCAGCGCGGCCGCCACAGACACCAGGCAGAGGATGCCCGCCACCTCCTAGAAACAAACAGATGAACCCAACAGCCGCGAGGGCCGGCGGGCTGGTCGCTGCCCCGGCGAGCGGCAGCGATCAGCCCGCGGAGGGAGGGAGGGAGGGAGGGAGGGAGCCCGCCCGCCTCAGCCCGCTCGCCCTCACAGCCAGCAGGTGCCTTCCCCCCCCCCCCCCCGCCCCTACCCCGGCGGCCGCCCTCATGGTGCCGCTGCTCCTCCGCAACTGCAGCCCCGCTGCCGGGCGGGGGCCACCACCCCCCGGCACGCCGGCCTCGCCCTGCCCCTGACTGACGCGGGCTCCATCCACTCAGGTCCCCCCGGCCCGCCCAAGGGACAGGAGGCGCGGCGGGGGGGGGTGGGAGGGGGCCTTCTCCCCTCCCTCCTTCCCGCCTCGCCAACGGCTCTCACCTGTGCGCGGCGCGGCTCCCGTCGGGGCGGCGGCGGAGCGTTCCCCGCTGCCCTCGGCAGCCCCTTGGGGTGAAACCGACCCTTCCTCTTCCCCCGCCTGTCCCTCGGAGGTTGAAGGGAGGGAAGCGGCCTGAGCCTGGGGGCCGCCGGCCGGCTTCGTGCCCCCGCGGGCCCGCTGGCTGCCCCCGCTGCGGGGCGGTGGTGTCCTGAGGAAACAGCGCGGCCGCGTTTTGGCGAGTCCCTGTCGGTTTTGCCTCATTTTTCTTCCCGGAGGGGTATCTCAATTAAAAAAAAAAAAAAAAAAAAAAAAAAAAAGGGGCGGGGAGGAGGCGCAAAAGTTCGCGTTTTGACTTTTGGTGATTGTTTTGATTCACAAGAAGGGTTTAAAAAATGCAGCTTTTTTTTTTTTTTTTTATGGGAGGTGTGACAGCTGACCAGCTCCGGGCGTCATGTACCGTCACAGCCCTGCCCTTCCTCAGCACCTGTGCGGGCTTGGGGTGTAATCAGGGTGTCAGCACCTGGGGCCCAGAGACAAAACCTGCTGCATGCAGAGGGACTCTTGAGACAATTTATCTGCCCAAATCTAACAAAAATCTCTGCCTACTGTTTTTATAAGATTAGTTTTTAATAAGCTTGTATTCACTTACTGAAAGGACAGGATTCCATCTACAGAATTAAATGGTTTTCTTAGTTTCGCACTAACCACATTGCCTTGGGGATATCCTAGTCTTGGGATTCACCACAAAGACTTTTTCATCACCTTTTATTGTCTTTAAGATTGAGAAGGGCTAAGAGAAAAAAGCAAAGCTCGCCTCCAGCAACAAAAATTCGGATAGCATCTAAATTTCTTTTAAAATATGATGTGGATATAGCTGAGTGTTAGAATACAACTATTTATGAATTCTGCATAATTTATCTGGGAAAGAAAAATGACAGTTTTCGTTATAACCAGCAGCAGGATTTAATCTGCTTTCTTCCGAAGTTTGCTATGCTGGTCAATGTCAGAAAAAGGATAATGAAGGAAATGAACATATGAGCCAATCCTAAATGACAAGTCCTGCCTTCCGAATAGAAAACTCTGTATTTAATAAAAAGTTCTTATTAAATAAAAAGTTGCCATTAAATTAAAAGTTTGGGTTTTTTTTTACCCCAAAGCTTTAAGAAAAAACAATAATTCGAACTATACTTTAACACAAGTGTCTGTAGTATCCCAATGTATCAGAAGCATATGCATCCAAAAATGGTGGTAAAATGCCTACATTCAGACCCTTCAAGTATTCTTAGTTCATGGGAGGGACTTCCATTTCAGATATGACAAGGGGTGTGTGCAATGTACAGGGCTACTTGGTTAAAAGAGATATATTAGGCTTCTGTTGAATAGTGTTCTTCCAAGCATGGCATTTTGGGGGAGGGGACAGCCCCAGATCCTTTCTCCCATACTCTGACTCTACCATATTTTAACTCTTATAACTTGAGAAGACCTTCTGTCACCTATCACAAAAGAAAATTCTTGCAAGACATAAATATGGTTGTGTTTTACCTTCTTCCTGAAAAAAAAAAAAAAAAAAAAAAAAAAGTGGCACACTAATAGTTGATTAGAGTTATCTGCATCTGCTACATGGAATGGGAGAGAAACTGTGGGGTTACATTGCAAATGTGTCTGCAGGAGTCAACTATGTGAGCTTCGCATTTGAACTTGTGAGGCTTGAATATATATATCTATATATTTATAGGCCCCATGAAAGATGATCTGGAGACACCACTTGAGTAAGCAGGGAAGAAAATACGTGGTAATTCAACATATACATACTTGGAAGCTGTCCCAAGATAATCACATGAAATCAGAGAACTCTGACTCCAAGACAGGGTAGGGTGTTGGCAACATGGTAAACATCACAGGGGGCTGTAAAAATTTAATCTTCGTGAAATTACTAAAATCACCTTTGATACTAGGTAATCACACAGTGTTATCTCCTTTGGAAATTACACCACCCTTTAATGTAGCCAACATAGTCATGGTTAAATGAGAGCATTACTGTATTTAGGAATGTTCAAAATGATAGATTGTTTCCATGCCAGGTGCTTGCAAGTTAAGACAAGTCAGCCTGTTTGGCAATATTTGAATTACATGTGACAGAATCAAGCTTCGCTGCCACCCCCAGCCTGCACAAAACTCAAAGATACCTGATGCTCCTCAATCCCTGTTCAAAAGGTCAGCGTAATCCAACCTGGGCAAATAATATTGTGGTATATGCAGTTGTGAGTAAAAGTCAGTACCAAAGACCAAATCCCGTGTGAAATTAAGTCAGCGATAAGTCTCCCATTGGCATCAGTAGTTCAAAATCAGGGACTACGTGTCTGATTCTGATTGCAGTTATTGTTCTTGTCACTGCAGTGGACAATGACCCCTATGAGGAAGTGAGATAAATAGAGAAGTCCTATTGCTGTAACCAGCATTAATCGTTCTCCTCTCAGTGTCATTCCGGATTGTCCATTCAAAAGTACTCCACAAGATACTGTTAAAGCCAGCACCTGAGCATGGGTTTTGTAGGGGGAAAAAAACAAAACAAAACAAAACAAAATAAACAACAACAACCAAACAAACAAACAAAACACACACCAAAACCAACCCAAAACAAATCGCAAATTTTGACGTCAAATTCGCACCGATGGATCTCAGCAGACTGTTGCTTGGGAGTGTATCAGGTGGTGTAATGATGTGAGTAGCTGTGTTGCCCTCTAGTGACAAGTACAGAAAGTTATATTACAAGCAACAGGTACGACAAATTATTCTTCACCCAATAGTTAAGTAGCCACGGAAGACTGACACTTCACAGACACACAGTTAAGATAGGTATCAGCAGTAAAAAGATCTTCTGGAAGCTTCTGTGACTTTGGAGAGCCATTCACAGAGGCGATCTTGGAATCTGAAATCTTAGTGTTTTGTCATCTTTCATGCAGGATTTCTTCACTTTCCAAAGATTAGTGAGAAAAACGAGTGCCCCACATTATTATAACTGAAACTTCAAAATATTTTTGGCAAGAAATACAAAAAGGTCACTAACAAGGATTACACTTTTAAGGATCACTGCTGCTATTAAAACCTTCTAATTTGAAATCATGTCCTAGGCATATATGCTACAGCTTCACGTTCTTTGCACTGATGGATGTAACACCAAGGACCTGACAATCAGATTTCTGGTGTGGGAAAAACACCAGGTGAGATGGATCAGACAAGTGAGTTCAGTACAAGTGACAACACGGATACATGAATTTGTTAGGTCAGCACAGTCCTGGATTAGTGTAAACCCAGATACCAGTCACCTGAATGAACCGCAGTGATGCCATTCTGGTGTATAATACCCACACTGATGAATAAACAGGCTGATATTAGTATGGCGAAAGATAGATTCCCTGCATGAAAGAGCACAAAAGCACCAGAAATTGCTCAAGCATTCACCAGCTTGTTATTGTCTCTACCACGCAGACAATTCTCAGCTGAGACTTGTGTACTTGCTTCATAAATCTCCTCGCCTCCATCCCAGCACAAGGATTACCCCTGGAGAAGAAAGGATGCCCTGCTATGTCTGGTAATCTGCAATTAGAAAATGATCCCGAAGGGGGACTGTTAGCAACTGATACAGTTTAGAGATGCCCAGACAAGCACTGAGTTAGCTGGAGAATCTGGAACCACAGCTAGCTGCCTGACAAGCCTCTCGCTCATCCCATCTTGCAAACAGCAAAATCTGCATACAGCGGAGATTTTGAGCTACCGTATGACAACATGTTATCATGTGCTATGGTGGAACAGGTCAGTTTGGCTCCACAAGGGACTGAAGCATGGGAACATGATCTTCTTCGAGGCAAATGTCTTGAGTGTTCTGTGTTGGGTACTGTAATACTATTGCAAAAGTTTCAGTTTTATCTTTCTCCTTTTTAAATTGGCTTATACTTGCCCTTTCAGCATTTCACATGGAATTAGATGTAATTTGAAAATAAATTCTCTCTGGAAAGGCAGAACTTAATTTTGCAACTGTGGCATAATGGGGCCCTTGGGTAGGTAAGACCACAGGGCTAAGAATGGGAAAAGCCAAGAAGGTTTCATGGGAAGTTCAGTGGGTGGGGGACCGATGGATTCCAGAGAAGTAAATGGGAAGAAGGAAGGTGATGAATGACCATAGAGGTCCTGAGGAGGTGGGAGGACTTGAGCTTGGGGAGAAGAGGCTGGAAGGTGGAAGTTTTATAGATCCTTGTTGGGAAAAAACAGTTGAGAGCATTTGGGGAGAGGTTCATATGGAAAAGGGCTGAGAGTAGTCTTTCTGCTCAATAACATCTTGTTACTCTGACCCCAGGATAACAACATTTGATGGATTTAAGATGTTGGCATAGCATCTTGTCAGGTCTGCTAATTTGTGTATGAAATACATTGCAGTTAATACCATGGAAATTACAGAGATTCTTCATAGCTGATTTCTTGTTGATATTAAGCAATACTTTTGAGTAATCTGAAATTTATCCCAAGAACTGGACTCATTTCAGCTTTCAACATTTGGAAAATTCATCAAGCTTTGGAATAGCATTTTGCCATCTTTGCTAATTACCTTCAGATCAACAGATCTTCCTAATTGCCATTGTCAAGAACAATGCAACACTCTTACTCACAATGATGGCTAGTCTGTCTCCTTAAACAAAATTCCTCCAGGCCACTTAACATATCTGTTTCAAGTAAACAATTGTGCCATTTCCTGAACAAGAAATTAAGACATTTTTGGAAAACTTCATTGTGTAATAAAACAATCTTCTATTTCTCTGCACTGATTTATGCATAATGGGCCTCTACACAGACAACCAAGTAAACAATAT